ATTAGGTTAAAATTTCCTGATCTTTACGAAAATATTATGGATTTTTAATAAATTTCAATATTTTTGATTTTTTTTAACAAATTTTTTTTATTATATCGATTATGATTCGCACAGGTATTAATAAAAATATGCAACAACCTAGTATTGAGTCACAATTAAAACTATTTGACCTAGAACTAGAAACTTTCTAGTTCTAGGTCTAGTGTTAGTTCTAGTTTTAGTTCTAACAGCAAAGCTGACACTAAACCTGGAACTAGAAACATTTGGGTTTAGCCGTCTTAAGAGACGTGTGGCTAAACTCAAATGTTTCTAGTTCTAGGTTTAGTGTTAGTTCTAGTTTTAGTTCAATGAAAAATATACAAAAATCTGATGCTGAATAGCAACTAAAGCTGGAACTAACTCTAGCATTAGAACGATCCATTATATTGAGGTTATACTGTAATTACAAACTTGTTTTGAAAAGATTGCAACAGAGTTAACTTCAAGAATTCTTCGCGTTAAGAAGTTTACAAAGTTTCATCGATGTCAAAACAAACCACCCGGATATTTTAAACCCGATTTATACACAAGCAATGATGATTCATGAAATAATAAATAAACAAACCTGAAATTTCCGATGGATCAATTTTAAAGGTGACCATATTTTTTCGATCCAAAACGTATAATTGAAGTAGATGGGTGGTTGTGGAATGATTAGAATTTTCAGCCAAAATCATAAGATCGATAGGTCTATTGACCAAAGGTGTTAAATCGGAGATGGTCATCACCGAGCCGTCTTGAAGCATGGTAAAGAATTGATTAAATCCCGTTTCCATAAGTTTATAATTTGTGGTATCGTTCGTTTGGAACATTTTAACGCTATATCCTGGATGAGCATCGTGGGGAATCACCGAGACAGTTTCCGCTGAAACGGTTAATATACTGAAAGCCCAAAAGGCCAATATAAACAACTCCCTCATATTGTTTCTGTGAAACTTTGTGTTTGTTGTAAATTTTTGTTCGTTTTTATTAAGGGAGGTTGAATTCGGGCGAATTCTTTTTCCGCTACATGCAGAGGGCGAATAGGTTGAACGTCAACAAAGGTTGCGTGCGCCAATCGAGCCGGCGCACGAGCCAGAAAGACCCCAGACTATTCGGGTAGAGCACGCGATAATGTCCGGTAAAATCAATAAAACCCTCCGGAAGAGGATCCACATGTAAATAGAAAATCCGTACCGACCCGGATAATTTTTAATAAACACGACACCACCCTAAACAAAAAAGAAAACCAAAACGCACTTCAACACTTTAACTATTCAACAAAATAAAATTTAAGTAAAAACAAATTTTTTCAAAAACGAATTCCTTAGACGTCTCTAATTCTTTTTCTTAGAAATTTAGAAACACCGCGACACGACTTTTTTTTCCTTTCAAAAAAATCCAATTCGAATCGTCATTTCACACACGCAAAGAATTTGTCTGTGGGTTTTTTTTTTCGTTTTCAGCAGTACGTTTACGGTTTCAGCCGGTTCAGTCAGTCACTTCGCGACTACGCACTCCAGATACGGAAGCCCAACCTCTTCGGCGGCTTGATCTGTTGTGGTCCCGCGCATCGACGGCGTGCGCTTGGAACGACGGCGACGCCCGACGACGCCCGAAACTACGCTAAATATGGCGTCCGTATCACCCCTCTTTACCCCGGCATCTATCTAAAACGACGCCACAATTGCATAACTTTCGACGCTTCCAGAATGTATACTAATATTTTCACATAGATTACTTTTATATTTACAGGGTCCTAGTTAAACTTCAAAATTTTATTACATCAAATCGATTTATTATTATTAATTATTAATTTCTTTGTTATAATACTTAGCAATTACACTTGATTTATTCAATCATAAGGTACCATTTAGTTACGTCATCTAGAGATTAATCAAGAAACAAAAGTTAGTGATTTAGTAGCTAAACAGCAATCTATTCAATTTGGGTTCATAGTTTTTTTTTGCAACGTTTCCAAAATGGGCAAGTCACATAAGGGAGTCATCCAACCGCATAGGAGACAAATAATAGGTGGCGAAGAGAAACGCTATGTTTTCAAAATTGTTCTAGAAGATGCATTCAAAAATTTAGATTGGGGAAATAAACATTCAGGGATGAAACATTGAGACTTACAACACACCTGTTAAAAAATGCAACTAATACGATGCAGAATTGATTCATGTTGCGGCTAGCCCTGAGAGATTAGATCCATAACGAAGAAGTGAGATGAAGAACGGCACAAATCTAAAATGGAGATGTGGCTAGGTTAAAGGAAGGTTGGTGGACGAAGAAAATTCTGGAAGGGCTATCGAAGGCGCATAAACGAGCAACGGGCCACAATAAGGAATACTGGAAATGTTTTGACGAGGCCTAAATTCAAAAGTGGACAGAAAATTTCCATAACCTGATAAAGATCCTAAGAGGTGACGTAAGTAAGATGTTTGAAAGAATGCTGCTGATCAAACTTTAGACATCTCTTATCCGCCTAACACCAAATTACCAATTTGGCTTCAGAAAACCACATGGAACAATAGTACAGGTTCATAGAATTGTAGGAACTACGAGAGATGCAACAAAGAGTTATTGTACACGGAGATACCTCACAGGCGTTCGATAAGATATGGCACTTGTAAAGTTAAAAGAGCAGCCTCATCAATATTATCCTCTATTGTGGTCCTACCTGAATGAGAGGTTCTTCTTTATTTTGATAAAATGTGTGTCTTTAAGTCTTCAGTCGGTACAAGCTGGAGATCCGCAGAGTAATGAGTGGTAATTTGCACACAATACCTTATCTCCTTTTTTATTTCAACACTGCCAAGCCAAAACGCCATAAACACCAAAATGGTCATTTTTTACTTAGCTACTAGATTGGGGAGAGGAGCCGAGGGTGTGGAGATGGAGGAGGAGGTTAGAGGGTGTGTACAGGGTGGTTCAAATTCGATGTCCGAATAGGCTAACTCGAAAACTATAAGAGTTAGAAAAAAAGTAGCTTACATGTCATGATCTCGTTTTTCGAGAAACTGCTAATGCCGAAAACCTCATAGCGCTATCGTCTATTGTTTTTCCCCTAGAGGCCAAAATTGAAAATATCGTAAAACCAATAAGTGCAATTATCTTGGTTATTATTATAGGTGGAGTATTATAACTACGACATTATATGGATACTTTTTTACAGAGAATTTCATGACATAGTCAAAAAAAGGTTCGGTTTTAGATTTTGAGATATAATGAGAATTTTCGTTTTTTTAAATGGAAACAACCACTGATTATTAGCTTATTAAATTCGCTATTTTTTTCTGATTACAAAAATATAGGGTTCGACAGGTCTATTTCTTATTGTTTTAGAATAAAGCTAAAAATAAACTTTTTTTATAAAATTTCCATCTAGTGTCGTCGAGGAAATTAAATTTACAGTTTCCTGTAAGTTACGGGGCGGTAGGTAAAATCTAAAAAGTTAACAATTAAATAC